ATCTGGGTCATAATTTATGGGCATCATAATGTTATTGAGCCACCGTGTAATCCTGATGTACATTCTGATTAACCAAAAGAAAATTAGCTTTCAATTAGTACATATAACTTACATCTGTATGCTTTAAAAATCAACAGTAAACTTAATGGATAACCAGAACCCCTCTTTACCATATTTTATCTAGATGGAAATATAATAAATGTTAAACTCATTTATTTGTATCTCATGATTTAAAATGTCTTCGTTTTTATATTTATTAAACTTAATTAGGTTGTTCGGGTACAAAGTTCTCACAGTTTATTCTGTATTTTCTGAAGCTTGCTCTAATTTTCAGAAATTTGTGATTGTCTCTGTTTTTTTCTATACAGCTAGTTTTGATAAACAACAGAGATCTTTATACCAACTCCTAATAGATGCCAAATACCTGTACTTTATTTAAAGATGCATAATTCCTGTTATGATAATTTAGCAGGTTTCTATGTAAGGTATTAACTTGAATCCTTAACACCTTTAAGAATGCTTCTTAGGCTGATGTGTGAGCCCTCACTGAGGAAGAAGCCAGGCTAATCTGTCCTTGATGAGGCTCCATTGATTATCTGACATGAGGAAAATTCATAATGACCACTTCATTTAGTGCTTATAGGAAGCTTTATTATTACTAATATTCCTTAACTTACTAATTTCTAAAATATATAGCCACTCACTGTTTATAACCTTATGCTCCCAATTTCTGCAAAAGGAGAAAAGATGAATTTTGCTAGAATTCTTTTGTTTTGAATCAGAAAGTAAGGGCTCTTTGGGCCGGCCCGGTGGTGCACTCGGTAGAGGGCAGCGTTTGGGAGTGTGGTGGCGCTCCCGCCGAGGGTTCGGATCCCATATAGAGACCGGTCCGCTCACTGGTTGAGCGTGGTGCGGGCGCGACACCAAGGGTTGAGATCCCGTTACCGGTCACGAAAAAGGACAAAAAGGAAAAAAAAAAAAGAAAGTAAGGGCTCTTTAATAACGAAGACATTTTTAACCCCTTATATAAATGAACTCCTTTGTGCTTTATAATACCACTAATGATCACTGGAAAAATTTTGATGATACTGCACTAATGTAGTACTTACAATGACCAGTCTATATTAGTGTTTTAATATTCAAATTATTTTAAGTGAAAAGTAAGTGGCTATCAGTAAAATAGAAGAGATTAATAAGTTCTTTTGTTCTTCAGAGAAGCTTGCTTTATAAATTCCTTTTTTATAAAGAAATTATTTGTTTTAAATATTGCTATATGGGGCCGGCCCGTGGCTCACTTGGGAGAGTGTGGTGCTGATAACACCAAGGCCACGGGTTCGGATCCCATATAGGGATGGCCGGTTAGCTCACTGGGTGAGTGTGGTGCTGACAACACCAAGTTAAGGGTTAAGATTCCCTTACCGGTCATCTTTAAAAAAAAAAATATATTGCTATAAAGATAAAATATTATTGTTGTTTTTGTATAGAAGAAATTGCCATTGTTCCCTCAAAGTAATGTATTATATACTACCTTTGGAAGCAATACAGGGACACGCACACCCTTTTATCCCTATATTGTATATGTCAGTTGTCATGACATGGTGTGTTGAAATTGTACTCCAACTTCCCTGCAAAACATCACCTACAAAAACTGGAAATAGCTGAATGTACATATATTCTGCATATGTGTAATTGTGTTTGTTTTTATTCATATGTACTCTGTCACATCCCTAAAAGGATTCAGGGCTGCTACATAATGATGTTAAACCAGCATTAAGAGGGGCTTATGTTAAATTTTTTTAAAAAAAGAATTTAGTGTTTGAACTTAGTGAAAGCTGACAGGTGGAGTAGCATATTTAAATAGTAAAGAAAAATGGTATAATTAAGTGAATACTTAATTGGAAGTCTGGAAAGTATATTTTGTATTTCAGTGCCTTATTAAATTGCTGTATGATCTTCAGTATATCACCTTATTTCTCTGGCTTAGTTTCCTGATTTGTAAAGTGATCCCTCATATTTTTAAATGATAGAGCAGAACTCATGTTCTGGAGAAGATAAAGCTGCAGAGAATATGAAGTATACATACATTCAGAGCAGGGAAGAATCTCAAATAGGTTCACCAAGGGGGTCCCATGTATACCAGATGCAGATGGGGCCCTGCACAAGGGGCCTGTGTGAGGATGAATGGGGCTGAATTCCAGCTCAGCTTCTGGAGGCAGGAGTGCCCTTTTGTAATATATCCACCCAGAGGGTGTGTCTTTTTCTCATTTGCACAAAGGAGCCTTAATGTTCTAGTTGCCGCTCTGTTCACCAGGTTTAGGTTTCATCTCAGTTGCTAACTCTGATCAGTTGGTGGTGACTGCCTGAATCCCTGTGTGGCATGAGATATTTGTGTGTAGTGGAGGGAGGAGTGGTGGTATGTGTTTGTTAACTTTGAGTCTTGAACTTTTTTAATGGTTTAATGGTAGCATATGTTTGTTGACTCTGAACTTTTTAATTAATTCCTGCTTTTCACCAATCAGTTTTGTGACCTTGGACAACCTCCTTAATTTCTCTAAACCTCTGTTCCTTGTTTATAAAATGTAGATAATGATAGTTCTTCCCTCGTAGAATTGTTGCAAGAATTAAAAACGTAAATGTGTTCAAAGTATAAGCACAGTGCTTGGAAGGTAACAAGTACTCAGTAAATGTTGGCTTTCATTGTCGTGATTGTCGTTTATCATAACGCATGGATATCCCTTACAGTGTCATATCCTAGTGTCTGCATATTCCGTCTCTCTTATCCATCGAGTTGTTTCTATTTTTATTTCCACCTTTCTCCTGGATTATTGCAATAGCTTCCTATGCTCTCTACTCCCAGTTGAAAGAGATCCTATTAGATGGCTCTGAATTTCTGAGTAAGGTGGGTATAATATAAATCTTATCTGTTGAAATTAAGGGGGATAAAAATAGGGGAGGGGACTATAGAAAATAATTTGGAACATTCCTTGTGGAATAATTAGTAGGGCATCTACAAGGATTGTTTCGTGGCCCTGAGATCAGAAAACATGAATTAGAATTGGGTTCCTTCATTATAATTTGAGAATTTTCTATAATAGTGTTCCATAACCAGATTGAGAGTAGAGAAAGTAGATGGAGGCTGTCAAATGTTGGAAACGTTTGTGAATATGTTGAAGATAAGGATGGCAAGGATTGTAGCACAGTGAGATAGAAATGGCTGACCATGAGTTCCACGATCTGAAGGCAGGCCGTTGAACCTAGATTGCAGATAGCAGGCTGAGAAACCAGGGAGAGGTAAAAAGTATAAAAGGATAAAACTAGGTTCACTGAAAAAGGAAAAATGGCATAATTGTGGTATATTCATATATAGAAAACAGAAGGAATAAATGAGCTTGAGCTAATGCTAAGCAAGAGTAGCAAGTTCAGAGGAATACCACTTATGTAAGATTTAAGAAAACATGTAAAACAATTCTATTTATTTCCAGACTTTACTTGAAGCCCCTTTGTCAGTATTTTAGGCAAAATTCTCAGCAGTTTGTTTCTCTGGGCTTCCAACTCGTGATAGATTAGAAAGGGCAAATTAAAAAGGTTACTCTGGGGCCGGCCCGGTGGCGCACTGCTACAGTGCACCGCTTGGGAAGCGCAGCGGCACTCCCGCC